ATACTTTGGTTATGGGATTGGCAACTTTTTTTGAAGAATTTTAAGAATTTTATAGATCTTTACTAATTAATTTTGTTTGAAGATGTTTAAAACGCGTTTCACGTAACTTATCTATGTAATGTGCATAAATTTGGATTTTTGAGCCGGATCTAATATATAATTTGGCACGTGATTCCCCTACCCTTAATTGCGGGGTTTTTTTTTGATTATCATGATCTGCATCAAACTTTTTTAGAAAATGACAAAACGTAAAAAAAAAGCACAACAAGAAGATTTCAAAGTAATTTTATATTAATAAATTTGATTAATAAAGCTATCATTTATATTATTATGCCTATTATAATAATTCATATACTTAACAATGCTAATGCCATTCTACCTCCACCTCATTTACAAATATCAAAATATTCTAGAAACAAAAATTAAAAGTTGGTAAAGCCAAACCAAAGGCTAGCAATTTTACTAACACCTCATTTAAATCAAGAGGTACTATTCTCTTCATCCCTTTACTGATAATGTGTTGACCATAAACAAAATATAAGTGATTAATTCATTTAATTCAATAATTGAATTTTTTACAGCAATATCATTACCAAATCAAAGTATCACTGAAGATAAGTCGAATCTAATAACTAATACAAGAAAACTATCATTAAGTGAATTGCTAACGCAATTAAGACATTATAATTCTAGAACAAGAAAAGGTTTTTTGATGCCTATTTATTTATTAATTATATAATCACTTATGAAGATTATGTTTTATATAAATAAATTTCATTCATAGATGCAATTCAGGGTCTTGGGGATCTTTTTCATGCATATCCAAATATATTATCGCATTCGTTATCCATCTCAATAAACTCACTTGTTCGATTAATTTCCGATGAAGTATTATTGATATAGTATTATATGTTATGAGTTCTTTAATTATAAATACGTTAATAACAAGGATATCATTATTTATTTATTAGGATAGGACAGTGAGAAAAACATTAGTATCATTTTTTAATGAATTTATTCCTAAAGTGGAGAAAGTAAGCCATTGATCTTTTTAAATTTTTAACGTTAATTTTTAATGTTAATTTTTTTAGTTTCCAATTTTCTAGGCAGAATTAAGACCATTTATTCCACTTCTTATCTTATTCACATGTTCTGCAATGTCCAGTATACATGAAGATATACGTATAGATTCCATTAAATTTATGAATATATGGCTTACGTTAGCACCTGATATTGTAGTAGATCAATTCTGGGAAAAGGTATTGTCATTATCTATCCTTGCTTGATTGAATGAAACATCGATTGATTTTTTTTTAATGATTTGTAAAATTATTTTCATTTAAATAAAGGTTTTTACTAACTGTTTAATTTGTTAATTCTAGTGGGTGATTTTATATAGCTGCACTGAGATAAAGTTGAACTTATAAGATTGTCTAGGGAGGTTACAATTTCATATAAAGAAAATTTTCTCCCTCTTTAATTGAACTGATGTTTCAATTAAAGGTAAACTTTATAATAAATACACTAGTTTTTTATAGAAAATTATCACCCGATCTTTTAAAACAATATAATGTCGGCGATTTCATGTAAAGAACTTACTGTAAAAATATCTGCATAATATATATATCTTTACCAAAATAGTTGATACTAAAAAATAAATGCGACCACAAACAACTGCCAAATTCATCTATCAATGTATATTATGGCGTAATTATATTGTTCATTGCAGTATGTTCATACGGAAAAATTTTTTAAAAATTTTACCAAGAATTTATTTAAATCACAATAATGCCAACGCGATAGAAATTACAAAAGATGCATATTAATATGTTAGTTGTATCAACATGTGATCTACATCCTTTCAAAAACCCACTACCTCTATCTTCAAAGTTTATTGGTATAAAATTCAGAGTAACCTTTAAATTATTTTTTAGATTAATTACTACATCTTCAACATGACTGATCACCTCATGGCAATCAAGAGCTCACAATAGTCCAAAACTATAATTAATCACGTGATAAAGCCGAGTATGCTTTGACAGAAAATGATCATCATTTCATCATTTTTTTTTAATCAAAGATAAAAATTTCTAAATTTTACAGGCATGTCATCAAATTTAACACAAGTACCGCCTTCACCACCAACAACGACAACAGAAACACCGACGACAACGACGACAGCGGTAAATAATTCTGCCGCAAAATTGTTTACAAAAAATCAAGCAATAAACACAGCAATAGCTAAAGAAAAAATTGGTGCCATACCGGGATTTTTTGTCGGAGGAGTAGCTGCCTGTGGTGCAGTCACATTCACTAATCCGTGGGAGGTCAGTAATTATTTGGATTTTTTTGATAAATGAAAAATTATCTATAAATTATATATAATGAAGGAATGTATCCATATATATAGGTGGTTAAAACACGATTACAACTTCAAGGTGAATTGGCTCGTGGTAATTCTAATTATATAAAACCTTACACAAATGTATTTCAAGCATTTTCCATGATAGTTAGACGTGAAGGCTTGCGAGGAATTCAAAAAGGCATAGGTTGTTAGATAATATTTTTAATATATATTCGTATATATATTTAGCATTTATATTACTCATGATTATTTTTTTAAAAAAACTATAATTCCAATAAATGAAAAAAGGGCCTGCATACGTATATCAACTTGTGATGAATGGTTCACGTTTAGGTTTTTATGATCCAATACGTAACTCGTTGATAGGATTTCTCAATGTATCAAATACATCTATGCCTATAAGTATATTATCAGGTGGACTGGCAGGAGTTATCGGAGCGGCATTAGGATCACCGTTTTACCTGGTGAAAACCAGAATGCAATCCCATTCACAACATATTATGGCAGTTGGACATCAACATTCTTACAAAAATACATTTGATGCATTGAAACAAATTAGTAAGAAAGGGGGCATCAAAGATTTGTTTAGGGGTGTGGACGCAGCAATGCTGAGAACAGGAGTTGGTTCGGCTACTCAGTTGTCAAGTTATTTCTATATAAAAAGGTGGACGATACAGGAAACAGGATTGACTGATTCTGATATTTTAGTTCATGTGTTTTCAAGTCTTTTGAGTGGTCTTTGTGTATGCACAGCAATGAATCCTTTTGATGTTATTAGCACACGAATGTATAATCAAAAAGTTGAGAAAAGTGGGAAAGGAAGGTGTGTATATTGTATGCATATTGTGTGTGCGTGTATGTGATTGATTATATATATATTTATGTGAATCATATATTTATATATTTAATATTTACAATTCTATGTTATAATAACAGCCTTTATAAGAATACTTTAGACTGTTTTATTAAAACAGTCAGGACAGAAGGAATCTTTGGATTGTATAAAGGATTTGTGGCTCATTACTTTAGAATTGGGTAGATTATTTACTATCTTTTAAATTGAAAATTTGAATATAATTATTGAGTATTATAATAATAATAATAATTTATTATTATTTTTTAGCCCTCACACTTTATTGACTTTTGTATTTTTGGAACAATCCCGTGGATTATATATTAAATATACAAATTAATTTATCATAATATATTTCGGTTTTTAAAAAAAAATCTTTTAATAATCATTCACCAATATTAACATTGACATTAATACTCGCACAAGAATGTAAATTAATAGAGAAAAAAATTATAATTTATTATGTAATGTATATAATTTTAATTAATTATCGACATAATTCATCATCTTTATCACCTCTTAATAATCCACATTTTTCTAAATCATCAACTTCTTTAACTTCTTCTTGATGATCAACAACAACAACAACACCATCGCTACCACCAAGTCCTCTCTCCATTGGACTAAAGAAAATACCACTCTATCATTTTTACTATTATTATTATTATTTTTATTATTATAATGTTTTATTATATAATTAATAATAAATAGCAAAGATAATGCTTATAGAGAATAAGTGATTGTTATTATTATTATAAGAATTGATTGATGTTGGTGATGTAATCGCGATAGTAGTAGCAATAGCAGCACCAATAGCAGCAGTAGAAGAATTGTTTGTTTTATAATATTAGTTGTTATGCATGAAAATTTATTTGAGATGTCAATATTTTTGTGAATCAGATTTTGTAAAATCTATAGAAGTAGTATGACTTCTTCACTTCCATCATTCAAAATATTATCTTCTGTGCTGATAACAACACCAGCAACATTTTATTTTCATAGTTAGTTTCTTTCATAATTTTACTAGTTGAAGAAGAAAAAAAGAACTTTTGTTGCTGATGGTAAATCAATAGCAATATTATCTGTTTTAACAATGATTCAACAGCTGTGAAAGCACATCCAACGTTATTATGCCTATCATCATCATCATTCAATATCATCAAAAAATTTCTCGAGTATTTTTTAATGCTTTCAAAAATTTTCTTTAAATAAAATCATCGTCGTCGTCATCTTCGTCATCACCGTCATCATAACAATAATCATCACTAAAAAAACATCGTCATCATCACTACAAAAAAATGAATCAAATGATAATGATTCAAACTTATCACCATCATTTCATTAATATTAAAATTGATTTAAAAATTGATAGAAATGATGAATTATTATTGTTATTGTGAAGAAAAAACGAACTATATTTTTTTGAGGTTTGCAACTATCGGCTTCATCTTCATCAATACGATTAGAATTAAATTTGTAAGTTTGGTTGATAAATTAATAAAGGAACCAAAATATTTGGATCTTTCATATTTATTATTATAAATTTATTTTCTATTTAAAATTACACAAACAAAAAAAATCATATATTGGATGCTTTAAAAAAGTCCATCAAAAAAAAAAATATATTTAATTCTAAAAAAAATCATTTATTCTAAACAGGTCCATAATTGACTATTTGTCATAAGACTCCAATTACATAAATAATTATCTTCCCAAGTTGCACCATTATTACGTAAAGCTTGTTCCAATTTAGCTTTAGGTCTTAATAATATTAAAGCATCTAGATATTTTTTATCTCCATAAATTATATAACTTAATTCCAATATTTTAACAAAATCATTATACTTGAACTCTCCAATATTTCTAAACGGCCAATCATGACCATCATTCAAAGCAAAATGCAATAAATAATCGACGGCTTTCTTGATACTTTGACCTTTCTTGCTTTTATACCGCCATCCATCAAATCCGAAATAGTTCGCTCTTTCGGCCAATAAGAATAAAGCATTTAGATTAAATATAGAGTAAAACCAACTGGTCGGTCTTTTTGTTTCGTAAGGTTGTTGACCTGATGGTAATATAGCAGTCTCGATACGATTTATTAATGCTTGTTTTGAATAAATTCTAGCTTCATCTATTCTACCCAGATATTGTAGAATGTAAGTTGCCTGTACATCATAATACGTACCATGATTATTGGGTGCTTCTTTCTCTTCTATTCCCATTATATTATTTTCTAACCAATCATAGTATTTTGTTAACCATTTCTTAACACCATTCTCAATTTCAAAATTCCAAATTCTTGATGATCTCATTAAATATATCGACTGTATCATTCTAAAAAAATTTTATAATTAAATTATTAAAAAATGAAAATAAAAAAATGTACAAATCTAAAAAAAAATTAATATTTACCTATAAACAGGATGAAAATCTAATACACCAGTTCTTCTTCCTAATCGAGAGCCCTTAATTAAACTACCATAATTTATATTAGGATTCATTCTAGTTGTATCGTTTAAAAACCATTCATCCAATCTATACAGAGTTTTTTCGACATAAGTTTCATTCTTTGTGAAAAAATAAGCAAATCCCAGATATTGAATATCATGAAACAAAGTTCTCAAGTATTGATAGTCTTTAACAAGAAAGATTTCTGGATTTGCAAATCCATCTTTTTTCACATAAGGAAAGCCATTTTCTGTTTCTGGATTAGGCCAAAAATATCTTGCTAATGATAAATAATCATGTGGATTTTTTGATGGTGCTAGTTGTGGTTTTAAAGTCACCGAATAAACAGAATTATTTCTTACTGCTCTATTTGCCCTATAAATTAAATCTTTTAACATCGCATGATGTTGTCCTCTAAATATTTCTAAATAATTAACATAATATTCTGGTGAAACGTATTCTTTAGGTTTACCATCAACACTTTTGACTATTGTAGTTTTATTCATTAGAAATTTATTGTTATTCTGATTATTCTTATTATTTTTGTTGGCGTTGTCATGATTTAAAACATGTCGGATTACTGTATGTGTAGGTGATAATGCTTCAACTGTTTGATTAATGTGTAAAAAGATTTCTTTAGTAATAATGGTTTTTGTCCCATAAGTTTCTCTATATAGATCATCATTTGTCAGTTTGTCATAAAAATGTATCCAAGTATACAGAATAACTGAAGTAAAAATAAATAACAATAATATCCTTTGATGGTACATTTTAATTTATATTGCTGCAGATGGGTCAAAGTTCACATATATAAATAATATAAAATTCTGGAATAAAAATTTGACGATCTAACCATAAACTATTTGAATGATGTATAGACCATCAAAATATTCTAGTTGGGTAATACAAATTCTTATTGTATTAATGGTAACAATAGATTTAATGTAACGTATAAATTTTATTTCCATACATGTATGAAAATGCAGATCAATATGGCGCGCCATAATGGACAAAAGTATATTTAATAATTAGTTAAAATCCAATTAATAACCATTTAATAATTATTTATAACCATTTAATAATTATAACCATTTAATAATTATTTATAAAACATTTAATAATTGGTTACAAGCAATATATAATTGGATATCGACCTAATTAATAATTAGACTTTTGTACATTATGGCGTGTCATAGATCATACATACATACATTTTTGTTAAATTAATATAATAAAAATTATGTATGTATGATTTTTTTCTGCATGTATGAAAATGCAAATCATACATACCGTAAAGTCTGGAAAGATAGCACCCCCTTTTTACAATATGATCGACATTCAATTTGAGCATAAGATTATCCAAAAAAGGTAACGAATTTATTACACAAAATATTAAAAATATATTAATATTAATATTTTTATAACGAATAAAAAAAAATTTATTAAAAACGTTCAAATTATTTCTAAATCATCACTATAATAAATATCATAAGACATATTATTTTCAGTATTTTGTTTATCTTCCACAAATACTTCATCAAGTAATTCATAAACATTATTATCTTCTAATTCATCAATAGGATTTGTTATCTTTTTAAATGAATTTAATATAAGTTCAGAAGAAATACTGTCCCGAGCATTTTTAACCCATTTGCAAACATCACTGATACTTGCACAACATAAATAACCACCTGCAGTAACACCATTGCCTCCATTACGCATCTATTCATCCCATTCTTTTTTTAAATGTTCTTTGAATGGTTTATTGATCGAAACATCAAGTGGCTGGCATATACTTGTACACCCACCTGGAATAATAGCTAAATTAAAATAGTTTGCCTCAAATTTTTGTTTAACAGTTTCTTTTAAGTGTCCAGAAAAAGAATCATAAACCATTAATGCAGGTTCCTTATCAATTCTTTTATTAACTCTGTCTTCAATTAACATATCTATATATTTTTCCATGAGTTCAGAATTCATCCAACCTTTCTCTTGAAACCAAACTACAACTCCATCAGGAATTGTTTGACCTTGTGGTAATTTTTTTCCTTTAAAAATACATATTGGCTTCAATTTTGATCCATCTATTGATAAAATTTATTATATATGTGAATTTATTTTTTTTACAATTTTAAATGCAAATTAAAATTTTAATCTAATACTGATTAAATACATAAATATACCAAAAATTAAATTAATTTTACTATAAAATTATTTATATAAATAATAATTACTAAATTACCTCCTGCACAGGTTAAAACCACAGTAAATCTATTTTTTTCATTACCAGTACATTTAATATGTACTGTTTTTTCACCTTTTTGGCTGATAGTTAATCCTCTTGACATATCAAAATATACCAGAGTTTCATCCATCAGCGTTGTGACCCAAAACTCTGAGTTTAGGGAAAACCAGAAACAGAAACTAACAGAAACCACCCGAAACTAGTTTAGGTTAGTAGTTTATGTTTATGTTTAGGTTTAGGTTTAGTTTTCTGCTTAGTGTAAGTTCATTTTCCGAAACGTTTCGGGAAGCCAAAAGAGTTTCTGGTCACAACACTGTCATCCATATTATATATATTGTAAAGTTCATAATTAAATTCCAACCTTTTTTTAATTATATATTTATTAAATGAATTTAGTTGATGGTGGAGTTGCTCAGGTACTTTTGAGATATTTTAGTTTGTCTTCATAAAGAAAGGTTTTTACGTCTTAAAAATCCAAGTAACCAGCTTTTGGAACATTTAAAGGAACCACTAGCTTCTGGGTATTGTGAGATCAAAAATCCGCGTCTCACACAAATCTCTTGATTTTTATTTATGATGACATGCTGGTACAATTTTCCCATTATTTATACTAAATCATAATAACAATTTCCGCGAATGTATATTTATGCTTTACTCTCAAAACTATCTTTTAATATCATTAAACAATTTCTTGTACTAAGAAATACTAATCAATGTCTTTTTTAGATTTTACACTGTGTATCCTGATCACGTTTCTTGGTGGGTTCCCTCTTAGCCGTTTTCCTCTTTCGCATATACCAAGTCAGGTACGTCTCTAAAACTACTAAATAAGGTTGTTTGTTTTACCTACTAAAAGAAAAGAAAAGAAATAAAAAATAATAAAAAATAATAAAAATAATAGAAACAAATATCAAATAAGAGAAAATAATTATGCACGGGATTAGTATAAATTTGTCGTTAGGGATAGATTTTTTATCATTACGAAATCATCTAGTTCTCCAATTTCTTTAAAATACTAATTAATGTTAATCATTATTTAAACCTTCCATGTAGAATTACAGTATGGGAAGAAAAATCTTGCCCTCTGTATTTGTGATAAAATTTAGTGTGACTTGAAGATCTTAATAAATATCATGTAAACAAAATATTCCATGTAAACAACATCTTGTAACGCATCAACTTTCATATTTAGTCTTGAGTTAATATATTATTATTATTTTTTGTAAATCAAGTTAAAATGTCATCACAAGTTAAAAAAACACATCCTGAAGTCATCTTACATTTCTGGAATGAAGGAATCCAGTCTCCTCAGGAGATTAATAGAAAAACAAACATCCCACTTTGAACTATTAAATTCTATATTAAAAAATAAAGGAAACTGGTAGCATTGAACGTAAAAAAGGTAGTGGTTGCCCTAAAAAAATTACCAGCGGAACATCAATTGCAATTGGCCAGTATTTAAGACGAAATCCCTCTCTCTCTTCCCGAAAAATTGAAATTAAATTGGCTGAAAAAGGTATTGATGTGTCTTATAGAACCATTTCGAAGCATCTGGGTAGCTTGGGTTATAAGAACTTGCCATTAGCAACCCCAATGCTTACCAGTGCACATAATGAAAGATGGGTAGAATGGGCTCGTGCTCATCTTGATGACAACTGGAATAAGACCCTTTTTACAGATGAAACAGCATTCCAATTGTTCAGGAACACCATAAAACAATGGTATAAAGGCACATGACCAATTCGTCCTATTCCAAAAAATCATGTAAAAATTTTCGCCTGGAGTGGATTTTGTATGAAAGGAAAAACAAGCCTTTTTTGCTTCCAGCAAATAATGACAGGGTCTTTTATGTTGAAATACTTCAGAGGCACTTACCTGAGGTTCGACAAATGCTTGGACGTGTCTGGCACTTTCGGCAAGACAATGATCCTAAGCATACTAGTCATGTGGCCAAGGAATTTCTTCAAGCTAATGTGCCTGAGGTTATTGACTGGCCATCCAATAGTCCTGACCTCAACCCCATAGAGAACCTATGGAATATCATCAAGACCAATGTGGAAAGATAGCAACCAAAAAATCTTGATGATTTGAAACGTTTTATGAATGAGGAGTGGGAAAGTATTCCAGATTCTGTTATAAAAAATTTAATTGGATCAATGAGGAAATGTTGTGTAGCAGTTATTGAACAAAATGGTGAATGAATATCTTATTAAATTTTTATAATAAATTTTACATGTTTTATAGATTTAAATGAGCCATTATATGAACAATTTACTTTAATGGTTGCCGAGTTATTGCAAATTTACAGAGGGCAAGACTTTTCTTCCCATACTGTATAATATATTCTTGAAAAGTTACCAAATGGTAACAATTTTTTGACAAATGAATACGTTCACATTGAAGATGAAAATGTTTGGACAGGCCTCACTGATGAAGATATAATAGAAATGGTAAACCAGAAGGAAGAGATTAGTGAAGAGGAAGTTGAATAAATGGAAGAAATTGAGATAATAAGTAATACAGTAGCCAAAGAGTCAGTAGATACAGTTTTAAAGTATTTATATCAGCAAGAACCAGAATTTGGTGAAGTAAAGTTTAAATAGACGAATTTGGTTAGTCATTCAAAAAAATTTTAAACAAGCTGACCTCAACATAATCGTGTAGTTTTCCGCCAAAATTAAAATATCCAGGCATATGAGATATCCGGGCAATATATATTTTGAACATCCACAAAATGTATCTGTTATAACTTATCGAGGTCATAGTGTACTAAGGACATTGATTTGTTGTCATTTCTTTAATTGAATATTAATTTCGGATATTTTAATTTTGCGGATGTTGAATATTCTCACGGGAATTCAAATTGGCGGATGAATTTAGGCGGAAAACTACACGATTATGTCCTCAACCATTGTTTTGAGAATAAAATGATTGAGTAGCTTTGTAACAATTCACAGTTTATTTTTATTTGAATATAATGTTGTGTTTGATTTTGGGTTCAATTATTCATTTTTATGATGGCTATTTATTTATCTATTTATCAATTATCCACAAATCTTCTATATAAATTGATAAGATTTTTATTTATATTATATATATATAGGTTTTTTTTTAAGATAATCAATAAAGTCTGTTTGTAAGAGTGTCTTATAATTTTGTATTGATAAAAATAATTCTTACAAGCTTTCTAATCAATAAATATAATAAAGGATCATTCACTTTTAAAGTCATATTATACCATTTGCTTATTTTAAACTCTTAGATAAAAACAATCGAATTAAAATATGATACTATCATGTGACACATCTAGCTTGCTATAACGAACATGGTCAACCATAGATCTAAATCGCGATCGGCAAAAAATTTACCAATTGGAAGTTGCAGTGAAAGAAGAATACCTTACGAAACTTTAGAAAGCCCATTTGAAAGTATGCCAAGAAGAATTGAGGTATGCATTTCTAATTATGGGTGGCCCACTATATATTAGTCGTTTTTTTTTTCAATTTTGACTTTTTGAAGATCTTTTCAAAAACTTCTTTTTTAATTAATAAAGTACTAGAAATAACGGAACGAACAAGAATATAGGCTATCTAATGTTGAAATTTTATGTATTTTTATTATGTGCATTCTGCATAATTAACGAAAAAATCGTTCACAAACTTTTGTACGGTAGTGTATAATTCGCTGTAACAAGGTATGACTGTATCAAGAAGTTCGTTATATTGAAAAGAATTTTATCTTTATTAAACCTCAATCCGTTAAATCAAGGTACATTATATTGAGGTTCACTGTGTAATATAAATTTAATATGACATTAAAAAAATTTAGGAATCCGGTTTGATTCGAATTAAATTGAATTGACTATAGAATGAGTCGAATCAAATTGAATCATTCTAAAATTCGATTCGATTTGATTCGTTGGAGTCTTAGGTGGGTGTTTGACTGTTATAAAATTTTTTATAACTATTATTTTACATTGCATAATTGTTACACGGCTTTTTATATAAGTTACACACTAATCACTAACTAAATGTTGAATATTCTTTTCATTAAAATCAATCAAGAGTTTTCTCATCAGTCAGTGTTCATTTTGGTTGTACCTATCATTGAATCAATAGTAGGATCTTGTCAAAATTTCAATGTCCGTTTTTTCCAAAAGTTTTTAATTGCTAATCTGTGAATAAATCGGAGAACATCCCAAATCTGCATTTCTTGCATAATTCAGTCTTTAAATACAATGTTAAATGGTGGTCCAGCGATCAACGAAAAGTTAAGGTCCAAATTGTCCATTAATTTTTTAAAAATTCTTTTAATAATATTGGTATTAAATTAAAAAAAAACCCCCCGTTTTCAGATTTTTAGAAATATAATAATAATGATGATGAATTATTTTTTAATAATGACCATTATATTAAAATCATGTATTTTTCCGCAAAAATATCCGCAAATTTGCGCAGCATCGTGAAAATATCCAATTTTATTGGTGGGTTGGGTGCGTGTTATCCTTATTTAGAAATTGATTTGGCGATTGCGGATATTTTTGCGGAAAAATACATGATTATCATTATATTGCCAATTTGCATCGGAAAACAGTTTTTCCTAAATAGTAAAAGTATACAATGTATATTGTAAAAAGTTACATGGATAGAAGTTTGTAGACGAGGTTTAGTTGCTTTTGCTTTTGATAATTTTTTGAATTTGTGCTGGAGAAAATTTTTTGCCCGTGTTAAGTAAAGATCTAGCATATTGACCTTCTGTCAGCCATTGGATATATCAGCTATTGTATTTACTTTTCCTTATTAGCCAAATAAAAAAAACTTATTTCAAAGAAATAATTTTATTAATAAATAATTTCTATAGACAATTGAAAAAAGGATGGAGGCGGGACAAAGATTTTCTAAAAATAATTACCATTTTGCAAGAATTTTTTTCATAAAGGTAATGAATGCTATACAAAATTGGATAACTTGTTATTCTGCAGCATGCAAGACTGAATTAATAATTTGTAATAAGTTTTTTTTTGAATTTAAAATAATAAAATTTCATAAAAATAGCTGAGAATTACTATTTAAAAACTAGCTATACACATTTTTTTTTTGTAATGTTGTAATTCTATTAAATTTTTTCATAAAATTCATATACGTGGAATCCACAGTTGCCTAAGAGTAAACTATTTAAAAGAGAAGATTTTTTCATTTTTGAAAAAAACCCAAGTTCCTTCCTATCTACAAAGTTGCATGATTTCATGTGACTTTGTATAACAAAAGTGCAAAATTTCATAATATGCAACTTTTGTCACTTGATACATTTTTATACCATAATTAAAAAGGAAAATATTATATTGGATATTCTGATATAACATCTGTAAAACTTTTTTCTAATTGCGGATTTTTTTGTTGAATTATTAGAATTAAAAATACACACCTTTTAAATTTTGTGTTTTGAAATTTTAAATTTTTTAAAAAATCATTGTTATCATTGTTATAATTATTGTCATAATTATGGATATTAAATCACTTTTTGGAATTAGTGGTAAAAAAGTATTGATAACTGGTGGTTCAAGGGGGTAACTTATTATATATAAATTTTATAAATTTTATTATTTTCCTAATGTTTTTTAAATTTTTTTAATGTTTGTTAGAATCGGTTTGATGATAGCTGAAGGATTTGTATCTAATGGAGCTAAAGTTTATATATCTTCAAGATCTTCAGATGTTTGTGACAAAGTTGCAAAGGAATTAACTGCTCAAGGTGTATATATATATACTGATTGATAAAATAGTGAGAATTATTTTTCAACTATATAAATTGAAATTAGAATAAAATTAAACATATAACAATAATAATATGATTAGGTCCAGGTGAAGCAATTAGTTTACCAGCAAATTTACAAGAATTGAGTGAAGTCAAAAGATTAGTTTCAGAAATTGAGAAAATAGAAAATGGAAGTAAGTGTTGTTTGTAATTGGTAATTGAGAAAAAATATTGATAGATATAAAAATTTTATTAATTATTATTATTATTATATCTCATGCAGAGTTAGATATATTAATTAATAATGCAGGAGTAGCTTGGGCTCAAAATTTTGATGAATATACTGATAAAGCCTTTGAAGTAAATGTCTATTATTATTGAAGGTTGTTTTATTTTGATTTTATTTGATTATTTTCTTAATGTTATTTCTCTTTCACCTAAAAATTAGAAAGTGATGAATTTGAACCTTAAAAGAATCTTTGATTTAACTCAAGTGTAATTATTATTTTTTTTAATATGTTATTATTAGTAATAATATTTATATAATATAATATTTATATTTTTATAAAATTGAAACAGTGCCATGCCATTATTAGAAAATGCTGCCACGCCAGAAGATCCTTCAAGAGTAATTAATATAAGTTCTATTTATGGTAATTTATAGGACATATACTGTATATATCTTATAATTTATATGAAATAAAATAAATATTAATTTATAAATTATTAAAGGCGTAAAGGTCCCACTTGCAGAAGCATATGCCTATGCTGCATCCAAAGCAGCACTAATCCATTTAACTCGAGTCATGGCTGGACATTTATCAAATCGTAATGTGACATTTAATTGTGTGCTACCAGGTCCATTCGAGTCAAAGATGACAAAAAAATTTCTTGATGCTAATAAAAAATTGATGATCTCAAATATACCATTGGGCAGAATTGGTAGATCGGAAGATGTTGCTGGCACATGTATTTATTTGGCGAGTAAAGCTGGTGCATTTACTAATGGTGCATTGGTAACTATTGATGGTGGTAATCTTTGCAAACCTAAATTGTAATGATTAATTAATTATAATAGCAACAAGAGAAGTGTATTAGGAAGAGAGAGGAGAAATGATTATATAGATGAAGAGGAATGGCAAGCATAATCATAGTAATAGCAATCATAATAATCATAATACTATTAAATATTTATTTTACAAAAATGTTTTTATATAAGAATAAATATATGTAATTCTATAATTAATTAAACACATTTAATAAGCTAGAACATTTGAGTAATAGTCTTCAAATTCTGCTATAAGAGCAAAAGAAAATATCCAAACAGCATCATTACGTGAATGGTTACTACATATAATCATGTTTTTTCATCCACAACTGCAGCATATTTATTAGTGGGTTGACATATTTAAAAATTAAATGCAAAGAAATACATGATTATCAGCTAACGTGTAATATCAAAGTCCAAAACATAGAAAATTGTGTGTATAATTCTTAACATTGTATAAAATTGAAAGGCTATTGTGTAATTGTTATCATTATGATATTATCAATTAAATACCAGGAACATTTTCCAAAGCAATCTGGCATGAAACAATCATTCTACTAAATGTTCCTTTTATTTATTTCCATAAATTCTTGGCTCCTTTGTTAGAGATAAAAATAAAAATTATTCAATCAATCAATAAATTAATTATTAACACCACTTCCACATAACAGCAATAACATAATCACCAATTCCAATGATACATGATATAAAAGTTATTAACATAACCATGCTTTGAGCCTGAGCACTCAAAGAAATTGTCGTGTCAAAAGAATATCTTTTTTGCAAAGTTGAATAATTTTAATATTTGTACAAGAAAATTTTCAATTCTCAATTGTTGTAAGTAGCAATTCCTAGAAAACATAGATATTGGTGAAAGAGCCAATATAAAAATACTAATAATGATTGATAATTAGATAGTAAATTTGCATATTGTGTGCCAGATTAAAACATAACATTAGAAATCAAACTTCATGTTGCTTTTTAATAAATATGGTCTACACCTGGAGAAATATGCATCCAGTGCTTTTAAAAATTTGAAAAACTAAGTCACGAGAATGATTCTATTATTTAATCTTATCTATTATGTAAAAGTTGTTTTCTGCGCATTTAAACTCAGGCACCAAAGAAAGCTCAAGCCCGTTTTTATTTTATTATTAATATGATTGTGTATTTGCTATTACGCGCAGTTAATTCCAAAGTCAACAATCATCAAATTAACAAACTCGTAAAAGTTACTCTACATACCGATGTTGATATGTTTCAAATTTGGGCACTAAAGATAATTCGAACGCGTTTTGAATTTTTTGAAATGTAATAACAAAAGAAGAAACATTTTTAGTATTTTTTAATTGTAAAAAAGAATATGCATTTTATTTTGAAAGAAAATATATATCTAGAAAAAATTTAATTATTTAATTAGTTGAACTCCTCCACTTTCATTTGTCAATGAGAGTCGCTTACACTGATAAAAAAAAAAATAAATTTGACATTTTACAAATATTTATCCAATGCACATCGCAGTTGGTTGCTGAATGAAATAAAATGTCAAGTGTATATATATATAAATCTACTGGGGAAAGAACCGACTGTAACAACCGATTAGTAATATATACAGAGGGTGATCACGGGTTTCCGAACGATTAAAAAACCGTTTACATTTATTTATTTATATTAATATTTTTTT